AAATAGTTCATCAAAAATCCGCAAATTCTGTTTTTTAATCTAAGTGAAGTGGGGAAAAATGGATGAAATAGATGAAAACACAGGTAGTCAAGAGAGGAATAATGAAAAAAAAAGTATAATTTTAAGATTAATGTACTGTCTTTGAAGTAAGACAAAAATAAAGGACAAGACCTAAGAAAGAACACAGAAAGGAAACACTCAAGAAAAAGAATTTTACAGCCTTTTAAAATGAATCTTGATATATGTAAAGTATTTCAGATACTTTCGTTACTTAAACCTTAACTGCTGATACACAAACTGGACACCTGCATTCATTTGCAGTGATTTTAAGGAAGGAATGTGGGTCAAGATGAGAGAAATAGCAAAGTCAATTTTGGCTACTGTAACTGAGTTAGAATTATGCTAGTAATACTCCACTAAACAAATAAATAAATAAAATGTCTGACTTACATCCCTCCCTTCAGTTATTTCTCTCAGATAGTAAAAACAAACAAAAAACATCAAAAAAAAAACCTGAGAAAAATTTTCCCCTGCATGCTAGTGAGAGATAGAAATGAATGTGCTGCTCAACTGCCCATGAAATAATGTTGTTGTTTATTTGATAATGTCGTTTGAATTACAACAAAGAGTAAATTACATTGCACAGTGGGTTTCGCTCAAAGAAGCAAGTATAATAGAATAACTCAGACTTAACGTGAGGCACTGCAAAATTTATTTTACCTACAGTGCTGCTCCAATAATATTTCATAGGTTTTTAAGAAAAGACTTACATGGAATAGGGAAGTCAATTTGCAATAAGCAAATGGAAAAAGTACTAAGAAATGAATGCAGGACCTGCAATGTATGTACCAGAGTGTATGGAGATGAGTGATTAAACACTGAGAAAATAATATGAAATCCTTATTGAGCAGAAAGAAACAAAAGCAGAGATGTGGATAGGAGATATTCTCAAAGCATTTTCTACACTAAGTTAAACTGTATGAAATGAGTTTCACTGTATGGTACCTCCTATAGTGGCCCCTATTCAGAAATAAAAACCCAGCATGATATTTAGCAGGGGACAGAAAAAAGAGTGAACAATACTTGGCAATAACATTGATGTGTTCTGTAAGGAAAAGGAGAAGCAAAATGAAAAGTGACTGCCATAATAGTGAACATTTGTGGTGGGAGTGGAAGAGCATAAAATCATTATTTACAGTAAAATAAGAAGAGCAGAGACTTTGGTAAAAAAATTAAGAAGTTAATTCTAGTAACACTGAGTTTGATGGCAAAAAGCTGATAAAGAAGAGATAGATCATGTGTGTATATATGTGTATTTTTAAACATTAAGCCAATAATATCTGCTGTGCAGTAACACCTGAACTGGACCACATGGCTGCTCTGGTTCCACTTGAATGTGAAGGTCCTGTGAAAAGCAAGCAAAACCTCACCTGTTCCGTAGTTAAAGGATGACATTTGTCTGTGCTCCTTAATACAGTATTGTAAAGTCTGATTTTGATGCCTTGATATTTTAATTCAACAGAAATAATTTCTTTCACATCTTTAAATGATAAAATCAAAAAGAGTATTTCTCATCTCAGTGGATGTTTACTATGAAAACTTTAAATGTAACATGACAAGATTCAAGGTTTTGTCTTAGTTTAAATGCCACTTTGCTTAGCCAGTGAAAGCAGCACTGTTCAGTGATGGGAAATGAACAACTTAACATTGTTGTGTTCTTAGCTTGAATTGATTCATTATACTTTTGATTGAGAATCTATTTTTGAAAAATATGTTTCCTATGGATTGTGATTACAGTATTCCTTTCTGGTGACTTCTGATTGTCATCCATCATCAGTATTCTGGTGATAATTGGAAACACCGGAATACTGTCTCATTAGAAATACTATGGTATCATTATTATTATTTTAGCCATTTAGAGGTTTTATGCATTTTAAAGATGAAAGCAATCCTAATGAAGCTACAGGTAATGGACATGATTCAGACAAAATATACTTGGAAATGGAAAGGAAGAATTCAAAGATTTTGTTGGTGCTTTTTTTTTTTTTAAACACAAGTAAATATAGTAAGACAAGTTACTTTACTTGAAAAGGAAGGGAAAATCCAGAAATAAACAAAGGAAGGGTACAGTTCACTGTAATGAAGTTGAAGAAGGTTCAAAGACTTACTTAAATGTCATAAGAGAGCAGGAATAACTTGGCAGGAAGAGCAGAACAAGTAACTCATCTTTTTGGTTAAATCAAAACATTAAAGCCATTCTGAATAACTGAAATTTTTTTTTGCTAACATGGAGAACCACAAAGAAATCAACTCACTTTCAGCCAAAGCAGTAATAAGTAACAGTGAAAAGCTAGTCCTCGCATCCTTCACAACAGCACTCCTGTCTTGCTTTTGTTCCTGACTTATGCACCTAGTACCACAGTGTCTGATTTCCCCAGCCCCATGGAGATATGAAGCTGTATCTGTTCACAGTGTATCCTAGGGCTTTGCTGGAAAATATTTTGGGAACTGCTCTGTGACATTGATTCTGTTCTGCCTGAGTATTTAACAGTTCATGACTGTGTTTTCCTAGTGGGCATTCATTTGTTAGAACATTTGGATTCTATTTGCTGCTTCTGTAGATATTTAATTATCTAATGCAAAGTGAAACAGCATCACTGAAAGAGGCTGGGGAATATTATCTGCAAAAAAAGTTTGTGTGGGGAGAATGTTCAAATGGATGATGATGGAAGCAGTGTGTGCTGGGTCAGGGGGAGGCAACTTATACCTAGAGCTTCCTCTCTCTGGGTTTTGTCATGGCACAGAACTGTTACAATGAAAGGGGACAGGAAACTTCCTTCCTCCTCAAAGGATCTCAATCAAGAACTAGATGGTGAACTTGACATGATTTCATGATGACTGAAGGTGCTTTTTTGATTACCATAAACATTTTGAGTAGACCAGCAATAATCCTGTGCTCATTTTCCCTTTTCTTTTTTCTCAGCAGGATGACAGCCAGCTTGTACCTTTGGTTATATGGTAGTCCTCTCCTTGGTAAGGTGTCAGGACTCATTTCAGATATGAGGCTTCTCAATACAGCTGCTTGTTAATCATGGTCAATAGTTTTAATTAAGTTTCATGGTCTACATCTTGATAAATGCATATGGGATGTGGGGAATTGTATCAATAAGCTTTAATTTATCATTAAGCTTTGCTGAAGGAATTATTTTCTACATCTGTGAAAATCTTTAATGAATACAGCATTAGGGATTTTTTTTTTTTTCCAGGTATGCTTTTCCACTGAAATGTCCTTTGAGATTTGAGTGAGTCTCCTTCCTTGACTAAGATTTATGAGCTTTTTGATGACCTTTCTACCCTCTATTTTCTTCATGGGTGCACACTGTTAGGCAGCTTAAGACAAGTTTTGTTTCTGCTTGACAACATCTTTGTTTCACTAATTCTTTGAGAAGCGTCCTTCGTGTTTGTATGAACATACTGTAGAGAATAAGAAACCAAAGTCTGCTTTCTAACATGGCTGTTCATCTCACAGAGGGTTTGAGCTCATTAGAAAGCAGTGCTTCTACACTATTATTATGCAGGGATTAAGCTTATTTCCAATAATTATTCAAATTTTTTTCACTTTGTTTTTTTATAACCTCAATATATTGTTCCATCCCAAATTTGTAATTTTATTTTATTTTTTAATGAAAGAGGTGAAGATCCTTAAGTGTAAGTTTTGGGTAACTGATGGAACCTATTTTAATGCAAGCCATAAGAGTGCATCTCTACTGGAAAATATTGTCAAAGTAATTTGTTTCCTCTCTCTACTAGATTTGCTTTATGAATTATAACAGTTTATTGTAACACATAGAATACTTACAAATAAATAACAACACAGGATGTAGCCATATTTATTTAAATTAAGTGTATTTTCAAACCACATCACAGAAATCTCCTTTGTCATCCTGGGGCAAAAGTCTGCAGTGTGGGATATGCTCACAACACTCTCTGAAGGTCAAAGCTTCTTGAAAAGAAGCAGTTATGTAAGCAGAAAAATGAGCTAGAGGCATGATGGCCCTACGGAGTGATGAGGGAATTGATTTTAAGGGGTTTACATAATATTCTATTCTTAAGAGTATGGAGGAATAAAAGATTATGCTCATTATGTCCGCAGTGATCTGTGCCAAAACCAGAGCAAATTGTAAACTGCATTATTTTTAGGTAACTTCATAACAATGAACCATAGTCTTGAAGGAATAGTTTCTAAATTTTCTAATCTTGCCTTGATAGATTCTGCTCAGCAACTTCTTAATTTAAATAAGAGAGGGAACAAAAGCTCTTCTATGATGCTGAGCTGGATACCCAACTGTGCAGCTGTTTGCACCTTTACTCTTCTCCATTACTGTGACACAGTCTTGTCCTTACTCAAATGAAATTAACCATATAGTTTTGTTCTTGTGATATATATATATATACACATATATATATATATATCTCAGATCCTAAAGAAGTCTCTGCTGTGCTGTGAAGAAATGCTTTACACATTTCCTTTGGCTGAAGCTTTACATAAGAGGGGAAACTGGCTGCATGTGGAGCCTGAATGCTTGAAATTAAATCAAACTGTTGATATTATTATACAGCAGTTGTACATGCCAGATAGACTACATATCAAACAAATTCTCACTGAGCAATATAAATTAGCATGTTCTAAGCTAAATATTTTATTTTATTTCTATATATCTCTATAAGAACTTTGCTTTTGTTTGTTTGTTTTAAATATGGTAGAATCCAGGCAAATAGAAATTCAATTTTTACAGAACAACTTCATGAAAGAATGAAAGCTCTTGAAGCAAGTGCTCACACAAACAAATTCAGTTTTCCTCTTTATTTACTACAAGTGTATATGTATAAGTCACAAAAATGTAAGAGAGAATGTGAAATGTAGTCATGTAATTAATTGCAGGAGTTAAATTTAGTGTTTTGTGCTATTCCGGTTGCTTCTATATACTCTGTATAAAAAAAAATAAATTAACATAAGTAGTTTCCTACTGAATGGGTTTTAGAAAAGTTTACTTTTTAAATTTGAAATTAAGTATATTATTATATATTCAAAATCCTGCCCCAACTGACATTCTCTTTTACGCAAGCTTATGTATTTCCTCTCTCACATTTAGCCCTGTCTTGCAGGAATGCTCTAAAGAAAGGACGATTCAGTACTGGAAAGAAATGGTGGACCCTATGGCTTACACCCAGCCAAACACTTATGGCATCCATTTCATAGGATGCATTTAAGTATGTCTGTGGGTGTTCTTTGGAAGCATGAAACAGTAAGGTTTGATTCAGTCTCTAGTTCAATCATTGGCAGAATTCCCATGGTTAAGAACTAATTAATACGTGAAGCAAACATTATTGAATGTTACACAAGAACTGCATATAACTCTCTGCTGCTCAACAAGACACTTGCTGTCAGTCTGTAGAGCACAGCTGATACAATCTTATAGAGGAGTTGGCTTGGGGGGTGGAGGGGAGAGGGTAAAATTAAAACCACTCCAAAGTTTAATCATTAACAGAAGCTAGCTTTGAGAAAAGAAAACACACGCAGGGAATGTTAAACAAGCCAATGGCAGCTTGCCTTTTGTATATGGAGTGAATTTAGGGACTTAGACCTTCAGACTGTAAAGGAGAATTAGAGTCACAAAGCACAAACAGTAAAAAAATAAATAAACTATAAAAAGTTAGTGTGTGTCAGCTTTTATAATGTGGCTTTCCTTACGATCTAGAAAGAAGTTGCTATGTAGAAGACTTGTAAAAGCAAACAGAGCAAAAGAGACTGTTTCTGATAGATGGCTGCAATAGTTAGAGCATAATGTTAATTAAATAAATGAAAATTATAATAATTATAATGATACAAACTGAGGAAAGCCAAACTGTCAGATCATAAAAGCAAAATCTTTTTAATCAGTTCAGAATACTTAAAACAGAATCAAACTTCTTGCCAGGTTTGCCCTTTCTTAAGCGTTCTGCGTGCATCAGCACTTCTCTAGAAATGTGTAATCTTTTACTTGGTCTGATGAAATCTTTTATTGCGATAGCAGTTTTCTTCAGGTTAATTTTGTCCTGATATGAGGTCAGTTTGAGCTAATGGAGATGAATTTACAATCTGCTATAAACCCCTCACCCATATGAAGTATGTATATGAGTGAAATCAGATCCTCTGTGTGATTTTTGTCAATAGGGTGGACTGGATTTCTCCTTGCAGAAACCCATTTTATATGTTAATTTAATGTCCTCAGAACAGTCATGCCCATCCACAATCAGGACCTAAGGCCACCACTCTCTTAGGTCTATAAATTAGATTATGGTTTCCACCTTTGAGTGTGTATCATTGTAACTTAGCAATGTTATTAAATAGTGTTCAGAATGTAGAATAAAATGAGGCAAGTTAGGTTTTGTCCTACCATTTCTGTTACTGTGATGAAAACTAGCTCAAAATGAGAATAAACAGGGAAGAGCCATAGTAAAAAAGAAAAAAGTGAGAGCAAATAGTACAATCCATTGATTTTTAGATACAAAGCAGTGAACAGAAAGTGTTTATATAGAAAATATTCTCACCTGCCAATGATGAGATATTAATGATTACTCCTCCATCACCTCCATTTCCTTTTCTCATATATTCTAGACCAAGGTAGGTTCCTCTTATCACAGATGTCTAACATAAAGGGGAAAAAGTACAATTATATTCAAAATATGTTCCTTTTTTACTCCTGAAAAATTAGTTTTGTTTTAATTTTTATATTTAACTGTAATTTTGCTTTACTTGACTTGTGATCTAACTTCTTCTTTGAAGATTATAAACACAGAAGTCATTCCACAGTAATTCAGCTCAATAATTTCCAAAGCAAAACTGCTGTAGATAAAATAATAGCTTGATTATTTTTCTAATAAAGATATAATTTGAAACATACAGCCTAAAATAAGTGCTGTGAAGGAAAGAAAATGTATACTAAGTAAACAGTTGATAGACCAAATACGTGCTTTGTCTGAGGACATAAGAATTGGATGAACAGGTCATAATCCCAGTGTTTTTACTGAGATGAATTATTATTCATTTTAGAAAATGTACAGACTGAATCTGAAGTTGTTACATTTATGTCTTTGTTTGACTCACGACATGAGAAACTTGCACTTCTTAGAATTAACTTATGTAGTCTATTTCTGGTCCTAAAATTTGTATTTTCTGGCTGAAATTAGTGCATTTTTATCTTTCCTGTCAAAAGAAGGTTAGTTCAAACAGACAAATACAGCTACGGGAAAAAGCCAACAGCAACAAAACATTTTACAAGATGTGAAGGAAGGTATTAGCGTAATTTTAACTGGTGTATGTAAATTTGTTTTATTTTTAAAGAAAGAACTTTAAGGAAAAGTTTTACTGTGACTTAATATCTTGATTACCTAAGACCTGGTTTTGAACCCTACTGCTGGGATTCATCCCACTAAACTTAAGATATTTAAAGCAAATGAGTCTCCGTAAAAGAGTAAGTTGCTTTACCAGAGATTTTGAGGAGTACTAATAGAAAGCTGTGGTGATGCTCTAAGTGAAAGATAATAACTTCATAAGTTTCATACTTATTTAGCAAGTTCATTAGATCTCCGCATAATCAATTTGTATTTGGCTTACAGTTTCAGAACTGAATCACTTTTATATTTCCAGAGATATTCTTTCTGTTTTTAATCAAGAACTCCATTCATATTTTCTTATTGTCTGTGCCATTTATTTGACCAGAACTAAGATGCTCAACAGATAAAGTGGCCCTACACATCTGTCCACATATGTGCCAGGGAAGGTTTAAAGGACTCTGTACCACTGAGGTAGGAATGTCCCAAATTATATTACTAAAACCTTTCGGTTAGTGGTTAATTGTACTGGGAAAAAGTCCTGTATTCAAGAAACGTGCTTGTTTATTTTAATAGGAAACATATTTGGAAGATTTGAATGTCTTCCTTTTTTTATTTTTTTTCTGTATCCAAGTAACACAAGTCTGAACTGCACAGTGACGGAGATATAAAAACTTGAAGCTTCATTACAAAGTTTGCTTTGTAGTATCGATATTGAATCAGCTCTTTTTTTCTTAATTTTCTTCATTTCTTCATTCATACAGATGTAGTATTTTATATTTTCAATATCAATATATTTTCAGCATATCACTAGTAACATTTTGATTAATATAAGAAAAAGCTATTTTCTAAATACTTTAACAGAAGCTTTTCAAAGTTCTGTTTTCAGCGTCTCACTAAATTAGATCTGATGCCCTGAAAAGTAGCAGACACTATAAATGTGGTCTTGCAGTGTTTCATGTTCATTGTCACATTTAAATTTCAAAGAATGTATAGAAAATAAGATTATTTATGCCTGGTAGCATTGCTGTAAGGTCAATTTCTTCTTAGAACGAACTCATTAACAGCTTAACAGAAAAATTAGATTTATTTATTGGTGTTTCTCTCTCTCTCTCTCTCTCTCTAGATATATAATAAGATAAGCTGTATACAGGACATTTTAGAAAAGCGAGAGTTAATGCTGTCTCTGGAAAGCAGGTGCAGGCCCCATCATGCCCTGGAGCAGTGGCTCAGCCTGTTGAACAGAAAAGGAGAATTCCACTTGATGATGAGAAGAAATAAATCAGTTGGAGAAGGAAGTAGCTTGTGGCTCCTTGAGAATTTTTCTATTCTTCCAGCCTTCTCATTCAAACAGATAAAAGAGCAAGAGGAGTCCTTGGGCAAACCACAAGTAAATGGGAATAGTGAGTGGCTTGACTTTTCTACCAAAATCATATTACTGATCTTTTTTTCTCTGTACCCCATTAGCAGCATCTCTTGGTGAGCTGGAGGAAGCCTTCTTTTATAGGTATTGTGAGAGGTTGTATTCTGAATTAATGCAGACATTCATTTGGATATTACCCTAATAACTGCTGTTATCCTTGCATGGAACTGCTCTATAAATGTGCATGATCATGGCTATTTCTGGTGTTTGGTCTTGTAACACAAATAATTATTCTGGGAATAAACTGAAAAAAAGTAGAGAGAGTGAGAAGAACCTAGCTGTCTGCACACTCATCAGATGGCACTCGGGATGAAGGTGTTCTGTGATAGATCTTCCATTCACTTGCCAACGTTTCCCTCTCCAGAAAAGAAAGTCATCTCAATAATTTTCAAAGATAGAACGGCAGTAGCTGAACTCACTGTTTTTTGAGCTTGCAGTTTATTCTTAGAATCTAAGTGTCACTGTCCAGCCAAGCCCATGGATCCAGGTGGGTGAACAAACCAAGGCTGGCTCTTCTATCTGGGAGCCAAGAACTATGATGGGAAAGATGTTTTTCAAAGAAAAAGGTGTATATATTTTTGGGGAGTTGCTTTGAAACTCATCTTTGGAAAAGTGCAAATTGCAGTCTGAGGCTTCCTCTTTTATGGAATGTGACACTAGTTTCCTGGATGTTTGCATTCCAAGAGAAAGCTTATAAACTATCACTTCAGTGCGTCATGCACAATAAAAAGTAAGTCAAAGAATGATGCATTCCTGGTCTTGGAATATGATGAAAAATGTTTCCCATCTGCCTTTTTTTCTTTCTTTTTTCAGGTTGTGTAACTAGAATCATAGAATCCTTAGAGTTGGAAGGGATCTTTAAAGGTCATCTAGTCCAACTCCCCTGCAATGAACAGGGACATTCACAGCTCGATCAGGTGTTGCCCAAGGCCTGATTCAGCCTCATTCAGGGATCAAACGCATCGCTAGGCAACCTGCTCCAGTGCTTCAGCACCTCACTGTAGAAGATTTTTTTCTCTATGTCCAACCCAAATCTACCCTCTTTAAGCTTGAAGCCATTTGCCCTTGTACTATCACCACAGATCATGCTAAAGAGTGTGCCCCTTTCTTTCCTGTAGATCCCTTTTAGATACTGAAAGACTGCTCTCAGATCACCTCAAAGCTTCCTCTTCTCCAGGCTGAATAACCCCAGGTTTCTCAGCCTTGTAGGAAAGGTGTTCCATCTCTTGGATAATTTTTGTGGCCCTCCTCTGGATACACTCCATCAGGTCCATATCTCTTATGTACTGAGGACTCCACATCTGGATGCAGTACTCCAGGTGAAGTCTCACAATGCAGAGAAGAAGAGCAAGATCACCTTCCTTGACCTGCTGGCCATGCATCTTTTAATGCATCCCAGGATACGATTGGCTTTCTGGACTGTGAGGTCACATTGCTGGCTCACGTCCAGCTTACCATCCAGCAGTACACACAGATCTTTTTTGGCAGGGCTGCACTCAATCCTTTCATCCCCCTGATTTTATTGGTAGTAAAGGTTGCCATAACACAGGTGCAAAATCTTGCACTTGGATTTGTTAAACTTCTTGAGGTTCAACTGCGGGTCCACTGCTCAAGACTGTCTGGGTCCCCCTGGATGGCATCCCATCCCTCCGGTGTGTTGGCTGCACCCCACAGACTGGTGTAATCAGCAAACTTGCTGAGGATGCAGTTGACCTCACTGACAATGTCATTGATGAGGATATTAAAGAGTACCAGTCCCAGCACTGATCCCCATGGGATACCACTGATCCAAACATTGAACAACTGAGCACCGCTTCCTGGACTCAATCCTGCAGCCAGTTCTTCATCCATTGATCAGTCCACCCATCAAATTCGTATTTTTCCAATTTGGAGAGAAGGATGTTGTGGGGTACCATGTCAAAGGTCTTACTGAAGACCAGATAGATGACGTCAGTGGCTCTTCACTTCTTCATTGATGCAGTGACACCATCATAAAAGGCCATTTGGTTGGTCAAACAGGATTTGCATAGCTTCTAGGAGGATCTGCTCCATAATCTCTCTCAGCACAGAGGTAAGACTGATGGGATGGTAGTTCCCAGAATCATCCTTTTTATCCTTCTTAGAAATGAGTGTGGTGTTGTCTTTTTTCCAATCACCAGGGACTTCTCCTGATTGCCATGACTTTTCATGTTGGCTGTTCATGTTGTTTCATGTTCATGCTGACTACTGAGAACTAACATTAAAACCTGAAAATAATTGGAATGGTTATCTTCCTAGTTGTTGAAAAAACTGACCTCATTGATACTGCTGTTTGTATTCTTATCAAAATACAATTATTTACTCTAGCAAATAATGAAGACAAGGTGCACTGCAGGTCTGAACATGCTCCTAAGGGAGAAAGTTTTATATTGTACCCGCCAGAAGAAAGTTCAAGATTCTTCCCAGTTAAATCTTAATATCTCCTAGTGTTAGCTTCTGAAAAAATTCAGACTTGACTTAGATATGACCAGACATTCTGATGTCTGGTCTTTGAAAAATAATTGTGCTATTACTCAAAATGTTTGTAATTGCAATTGGAAGCACCTTATCAGTAATCATCAACTTATATAATAAATTGTTTGGCAATTTCACTATCAGTGCCAAAATCTGAAACAAAACTTACAAAATCTACAGTACATTACAAGTCTGCATGTCCCATACATGTCTGTATGGTTTTAATGGTTGTTCTTAAAGGAATAGTATTTTGAAATTCTGATTCTAGTAAGACTCCTAGTTTTCAGCAGAGCTCTAATTCCCTTTCTTCTGTCTTTCTGTCTTCTCCATGTCTTCTGTACTTTTTTGCCCCCTAAATTCCTCAGGAATAAAGGAATATTATTATTTTTTGAGTAACTGGATTCAGGTGGTGCGTGGTTCAAATAAATTGGTCTTTATTTTAATTGAACATTGGCTACTGTAAACATACATTAAAATGGTAGGCTGTGAAGTTCATTGGCCTACTGGACAATTAAGGTCTATCTATGTGCTTCCTAATATAGACATCAAAATTTAGTATGCTTACAGCTCTCTTTATGCATTGGGAGGGCTGATCCTCATGCCATTGATCTCAAGATAATAGCTACTTCTCACCTTTTGGTAGCCACATCTCTCTGTAAGCACTTAGTCATATTTCTGACATCACACACTTAAGGAATAGGCAGCTAAGCCATTGAACAACAGAGCTGGTGTATTTCTTAGAATGCAATCTTGATACACTAGTTAACTGTGCAGTTTACTCTTCTACAGACAGCTCTGTGCTCCACACTGAACAATTACATAAGAAGTGTTAAGAAATTGCTTTCCTGTCTGTACTGTGAGCCCAAGCAGCAACACCCAGCTGCTGAATCTAGTTGTATCCTGGTTTGTTATTTTGAGGTGGAAGTTCAACCTGTGTAATTTCTTCTGATAAAATGGGAAAGGAAAGCAAGGTGTATGGACCAGAAGAGATACGCCCTTATCTAACTTACACAAGGGAACAGCCCTGCAATGATCATTACATCTTTGTCTCAGAAGTAAATAAGATGAAGCTTGCCTAGTTAGCTTTAAATTTGTTGTTGACACATTAATTGGCCTTTCGAAGGATAGTTCCTTACTGATGAGGGAATTAATTGATTTTGCATGATTTGCTAGTTGCTAGAAATTTTATTACACCATAAGCTATATGTAACCTATCCACACATTCATGCTTCTCTTAATGTACTTCATCATTTGCACAAGAAATTTTTATACTCAACTACCTCCTTATGACCCAGGGAATGAGCAATACAAATAGAGTAAACAAAGAGAGCAAGACAGATCTCACTAGTTCATTTATCAGAGCAAATGAAAACCAGCTTCCCAAATCTTTAGGAATATATATTCTCAGAATTAGCTATCATTTCACCATTTCCCTACATCTCTTTCTGTGACTGTCTTCAAAGCCCTTCTAGATGAGAATAAATCTCGTCACAGGCGGTGTTTGCCTCTCTATCCACACTTCCACAGTATAGGAGGAAATAAAAATTTGGTTTGCCTTGAGAATATTTTACTCACATATCTCTGACAGCTGTCTTAAGGCATTTGGTATTTATGCGGACACATTTTGTAGATATATATATGCCTACTGCATAAAATGCAGATGAGATTACATAAGAGCATAATTGAATCTCAAAATCTATTTCTTCTGAATTTCAAATGACAAAGAATGCCAACTTTCCCATTTTTTCTACTTCTGCCTAAAAACTCATTTTGTTTCTTTTTAAGTTTTAGAAAAAAAAGATATGTTTCAAATCTCTTTAAAAAATGAATTCCCTAAAACAATTCCCAGAAATTTTTAACTACAATGCAGTAACATCATGTTTAAAAACATTGTTTAAAAACATAAAGCATTAATAAAATCAAATCAAAATAAAAACACTTCATAATTATTTCCCTGTGAAACAAGATAAACAAGTTAACTTTAGAAATGCATAAAACTAAAAACGTATTCCCTTACATGTTAATTAGTAGTTTTTGCTTTTCTAGGAGAATAATTTAGTAATTTTAGAAAGCTCACAAATGACCTTTCTGGATCAAATTTATGTATCAGTAAATGTATATAAACTTTGGAGCTTAGAATCGTAGAATCACAGAATTATCAAGGTTGGAAAAAAACCTCTATAATCATCCAATCTAACCATCTACCTGTCACCACTATTTCCCACTAAACCATGTCCCCACTATCCAGCCACTACCAGTTCCAGAAAGCCTACAAGACAAGAAAAAAGGACACCAAATTGTGTTTAACTAATGCGCATCTAAAGCTTATCAAAACATAATCTTTTTTTTTTAAAATGTAATTTTTTTAAATTTGTTTTGAGGTCTTTAAGAGGAAAAAAAAAAAGGTTATAAAAGTTTTGGATTCCTTAAGCATGAATTCTGTGAAGCAGGTTGCAAGAAACAGTATTCTTGTTGTTCTAGATAGCTGTAGGTAGGACTCTTCATAAAAATGCGCATGTCACACATCCTCATAACTTTCTGTATGTGGTTTTTGTTTGTGATGGACTGTTGAAATTACATAGGTAGTACCCAGTTAAAATGAAATTCCTATATGGTAGCCAGGTTCCTTTCTGCATGCTATATTAACAAGACCATGCATTTGTATAGATATCAGTAGCTTAAAAAATGGCTCAAGCTGATTTTGATCAAGTCAGTGCTTCCAGACCTAAAGCTCTATTGTGGGGCATGGATGATACTGCTGGCATGCTTAATTAGAAGTGCTGAAAGAAATACTGAAAAAAAAGATGGATGATACTTAGCACAAAATGCAACAGGATTGTGAAAAACACCACAAGAGAAATCATTCTAGTGGTTGTTACCCTTTTTTTCCTCACCATAAAGCTGCCTTGTTTCCTTCACAGGAAACTTTAATGAATACAAGCAAGAGCTGTTTTTTATTCTCTCCTTTTCCTATTGTAGTATGTCCCATTCTTTAAATTTGCTTCTTCATTTCTGTTCCTCATGTTTTCTCAAGCAGTGCTATCAGGGAACTTCCTTACACCTCTTTAAAAATGTTCCTGGTGACCAACCGGTTCTGTGAACTGTTTTAGCCATAAAGAACACACCCCATATGTGTTTGTTCTGATTTATCTTCCTCTGTACTGCTCTACTTTTGTACTTCGTACTTTAAACTGGGGCAGGGAATATTTGTTGTATAAATATATAAATAATGTCATGAAGACCAAAGTTGGCATGTAGAGGTTTTTCTCCCCCAATCCCCCCCTTTTTTTTTAATTTTAATTGTTGCATTGTGTATATCAAAATATGTGGCTGTAGAAGTTATTTCTATTCTTAGGGATAACACAAAGGATAATCAAATATCCTATGCTGGGGAAATAGACATGTTTTTAAATTGCATTTTTCATACATTTTTTTTCCTTTCTCTAACAGAAGCAAAACATGTTTTATGGACCCGACCAACATACTATATTACATGAAGTAGTTTTACTGTTCTGTTTTTCATATTTAATAAGCATGAAGCATGAATATCCTGGTTTACAGAAATTATTGTAACTAGTTAGAAATGACCTATGGAAATCAGCTATGTTGTTGGCTCAAGGTTAGACAGTTAATGAATATTCCAATTAAAAGATAAACGAGAATATGTAATTCTTAAATTGTCCTTAATTTAATGTGCATGGTTGTGCTTTTACTCAGCTTAATCATTTTAAATGTGCTTATTTTAGTCACCTGCATGAGTTGATGCATTTATTCAACTTCCAACTACGAAGGAGAACTTTATGGAGAATTAACCTATATAATCATGTTTAAGTTATATATGAGGTAAACCTTCCTCCTACTCTGCAATTATAAAATTGTTTGTACATCCATCTGTAAGTGAAGATATTTACTTAGGCACTAAATTATATTTTAGATTTGCGGACCCTAAGTGCCTTCATTTTTTGAGCTAAATTTGTAGGTGAATAACCACTGACAAATGAGTTTCTCACACAGACTTCATTGTTTTTGGTCATGACTAACTACCTGTGCATGCACATTTGACAAGTGGATGGCTGCCTACAGTAAATTATAGCCCTATATTAATCTAAGACATATGCATGGAACTGATGATGTCACACTCTTGTCAGTTCACAGTGTGAAACATCCTACTTTTTAATTTGTCAGAATATTTCAGAAGTGAAAGATGGAGAATCATGTGTTGTTAAATCGTAAGGAAGATCTAAAGGAATGAGAAAGGAAAATGAACAATGTTTCTCTTATTGTGGAAACCTTAATGTGTGATTCCAAGAATAAACAATAACCTTGGACAGATACAAAAGGTAAAGTATTATTAAATCAGAACGTTTTTTAAAATACATATTTCTCAATTGATTTTCTAGATTTTATCTCAGATACAGCTTGCGTTACATGTCCAGGTATATTTTGTTGTTATTTCTTTTCAGAGAGGCATTCAAATACAGTGACTCAGATACCTTTATCCACAGAATTTTGTAAAAAAACAAGCTTTTCACTTTCATATCCTGAGCTCTCCTGTCCAGCTGACACATTCCAAATGACTATTTGGTTTCAAGTTCCACGCTGCACTCTACCAAATTTTTTTTTCTGAGCAGATCAAGGCTGCAACACTTTGTAAGCATTTTCATAAGAATGATAACATCCAATCAGAACATTATATATGGTAGAACACAAGCCGACCACAACGTTGTTAACCTTGAAAGTTGGCCTTTCCTATAGAGCTTAGGTCTCTTAACTGTAGCCTAAATATAAAAACAAAACAAAACAAAACAAAACAATTTCAACTGAGAAATAGATTTCACCTGGTGAAAGGAATGAGACTTCTTTGTAGAGTTAGCCAAATAATATCAAAGAACTAGTTACAGTCTGAAAATAAATTTTACTCTTGTTGAATGTGCTCTGTTTTAGCAAGTGCTCTTAAGTGATGTGCTTCAATTAGTCACGATGTTGAAATGGCCTATATTAAAAACTCAGGTTATATACTTGCTTCAGTGGTGAAGAAAACATGGAGCTTGGATGAAAAAGTTTTCCTATAGTATCACAGTTATCCTGCAATATATATTAGACTTATTCCCTAATACAGGTCAGCTGAATCTCTCAGGTAGCTAAAATGTTCTAAAGCATTCATATAAACAGACTGGTCTCATGTAGGTGGAGCTCTATTGCCTTAGGTGCCATATTATTACACCTACGTGGGATTTCATTGGGCTTTGAAAGGAGAACGTTGTCTGCTATAACTCCACACGGTGCCATACATCTTGGATAGATGACGTAAAGAAGCCACTGCACGTACATTTAATTGTCTATACATATGCAATTAGGTGGTAATATTTTGGACAGCTGTGCTTACCAGTCTAATAATCCACGTTCTGTCACATGGCATAACTCTCCATGGTTTGTACAGATTAAGTGCATTTCAGTGTCAATTACTGAAGCATGAGTATGTGAGAAGAGATAAATGCTTACCAAGTTAATTTGTATAGTGCTTTCCCAGTCCTTCTCATTGTTCACTCCAGCATTATTAACCACAATATCCAGCCTTCCAAAATGCTCAATTACTTTTTTGAAAGCACCTATAGTAAAATCCAAAGGTGACATTTCTTAGCACTTTTCACTCAGTTATACAATGCCCCATAACATGAGCAAATGAAAGTTCTTAGCACTCATACATTTTGCATTAGGTTGGATATATAGCACCTAATTATATAAACATTTATAGCTTGATCCTGTATGACTTTGATGTAATAAATTCCAGAACTGTCCCCATATATTTTAAGTATAAAATAAAGGCTTTATTTGTTCCGAATGGTTTTATTGACTGGCCTGAATTTAACTAATTTTAAGAATGCACTTCTTATTCAGTGATGTAACCAATACAAATTATTCAGGTACAAAGTGTTCTTGATTAATTTTACTTTTTTTTTTTTTTTTTTTTTTTTAATTTATTAATAGTTTTTTATGCATCGGGTAACAATAATGACTTGTCTGTCAAATTCACATATTCTTTGTTCTAGTGGTAAAAATAAAGACCTGTCTTCCAAGGAACCTGAAAATAAGAACAGGGAAACTTCCACAGTGGCACTGTGTTGAACTAAGATAAAAGATGTGTAAGGCAATGATGTCATAGTGATGAGCAAAATCATCTAGGCTGGCCCTGTTTTGACACCATAGTTGGATGAGATGACCTCCAAATGTTTGTTCCAAACTAAGTTTTTCCGTGGCTGCAGACCTGAAGTTATACAGTTTCTTCACAGGTTGTTCTTTCCTCCAAAAATGGATACACATCACTTATCTTTTATTATTATGCAAAATACCACTCCCTCAAATATTGTTTTTAAAAAACGTCAGTTAATGACTGACTGAAAATCTTGATTATTTCAGGTATATTGAAATTATGCTTGAAAGGCCTTAATGAATGAAACTACTTTCCTAAAAGCTGATACCATGACACTGAATTCTCTGGTCTTTCATCTTTGGCTACTAGCATCAATCAAGGGTACAGCTGCAGCTTTGAAATAAACATTTCTATGTTTTTGTTTTGTTTTCCAACAATTGCAAGAGTTTACAATGTTACTTTTATTTTGCTTTGATTTTACCATATGGTTGGTGCTCTGACAGTGTTTTCTTAATAGATCTGAATGCTGCTGCAAGTTTGTCACAGTCATCATCTTGACATCAGAACAAGAGCTTGGCAGCTGTTGGAAAAGGTTTTATCCATCCAGTTGCTCTTACTGTACAGATTTTTCAGTGTTCTTAATCTGTACTATGGTTTTTCATACTTTTAAAACCTCTCTTTTCTGCCTTGTTGATCACTAAGATCACTGTAAACTAACTTGTTCTTCCCTTTTTGGATGTAAAATAACTTTGTGTTTACACTGCAAAGTAGTTGCTTTGAGTTTATTAAATCATAAAAAAGAAAAACCAATGATCATACAAAATGCTAATCATTAAAATGAAAGAGGGGGTCAATTTTAACAAGTAAGAAAAACAGTGGAAAGTATGTCTTAAACACCAATCACAAATGAGCTTCCTAAATTTTCACGGTAAGCAAAAATAAATGTATGGTCATTTTTTTAAACTGAAGGTGAAGATATACATAAGAAAGCCAACGCAGGAAAAAGCAAGGAAACATTTGGATACGGACAAAGTAATGGATTCCCTGCACGTGAGCATTATGTACCTACAGATACTTGTTCTAGTCTTGTGATTTGCTTCATTTTGTAAGAGTTCAAGTAGGAATAAAATTATTAAAAATGTGACATTGAATGTAAAAATCAGATATAGGACATGACACATCCACTAAGTACTTAAAACTCTGAGTGAAATTAGGCTTATTATGCAGTAGTTTTCAATTGCAAGGGAAGAAACCCACAAAGATAATAATGCTGTATTAGAGAAGCATAGCAACTCCTTGCCCTTGATCCTTGCCATCCCTCCATTCCTATTCTGATCTCTCTTTTCCAACTTGGTTGCAGAATTTCCCTCTCTATGCCATCCTGCTCCTTCCAGTTCTGAGTGCTCTGCCTGCAGGCCGTGCACTAGCCTGGTGTAAAAAAGTAGAGGAACTATGGGATCAGGGTAAGAGAAAGCAAGTTGAAGTAAAAGCTGTGCTGCAGCACATGCTATTCCTACTCCTAAGAGGCTTATTCTTCTCCTGAGTTACTCCTTTCACTTGGAGAAAAAATCACTTATTAGCTTAGCTGATAAATAGTATGTTTGCTGGTTAGTGCATCTCCCACATTTATTGTCCAGCATCTCCAATGGAAAACATTTAAATCAGGCATAATGACACTATCTGGGAGCTAAGAATAATACTGCTGAGCTATGGACAAGGTACAGTATTTGTAAAAAGAATGATTGTGTTTCACCTCCACTGTTGAGACAAGAACAAGAGCAGTGCGGTGTGTAAAAGCAGAAGTAAAGGGTACGCATCCAACATGACACAAATGAACCTGGAAAGGACACTGACAAAAGTGACGTCAAACTCTGTATCTGACTGACTCATTACCTGTGAATGTTTCTCTTAAGAATGGAACTTCAATGAAGTGATGCAGTAGTTATGAAATATTGTGTAGAGTACATCAACACTATAAGCTATTTTAAGAACTCACTAGGGTGCAGGATTTATTCGCTACATTAAAAAAAAAAAAAAAAGGTGATCATAAATCCAGGCAATAAATAATGGCAATCATACTGGAGAAAAGCTCCTTCCCATGACCTGCATATGCAAGACACATGCAGAATTCTATCAATCTGTATCAAAAACCAGGCTGAAGTGCTGCGTTATCTTTTGTCAACTCTTCTTTCAGCTCCAGCAGCATATGTTGGACATAAGCATGCCATATGGAAAGATCACTGCAACCTGGAGCAGAATTTATTGCTCCTGTGATGAGAGAATGCTGCTTGGATTCTGTACCGAAGCCTCATAAAAAGCATGTCCGTGCTTTAAAGCTCATATATATTACTCATAAAATAACAAGTATCTTCTGCAGAGGCTTCCATGGAAAAATATCACACGACACTCAATGGAAATAACTTCTTTGGCTTTTCTTTACGATGTGCCAAGTAACATAGTGAAATGCACGTGAGCTGGTAATAATATTTCACGTCCGCAGGTTCAGAAACAAATCCTTTTTGAGTCACGGTCGGGCTGAGAACAGGCTGCCCTCCAGAACCCCGAATTGCACACATCGGAGCGGCAGCCCGGGCTCCGTCAGGTCGCTGCATGTCGAGCCGGAGCCGCGCCGGCAGTTTCCTCCTTACCTTTCAGTTGCTCCGTATCCGTAACGTCGCATTGGATGAACACCGTCCTCTGCGCTTCGAACTGTTCGTCCAGGGCCGCCTTGCTCTGCTGCCCGGCCTCGGGGTTGCGGTCCAGGAGCGCTACCTGCCCAGGAACGGAGGGAGGAAGGAAGAGGCTGAGCGGGGCCGCGCCGAGATGGGGGCTGCCGGCTCCCGGAGGGAGGGAAGCAGCGGCGCGGGGCTTGCTTACCTTGGCTCCCTTGCCCAGCAGCGCCTGGACAAAGGCTCGGCCGATGCCCTGAGCCCCGCCGGTGACCAGAGCCACCTTGCCATTGACGTGCATGGCGCTGCCAGCCCGCGAGGCGTAGAGGAGCCGTCTCCCGCCTAGCCGGAGGAATAGAGCGCGGTGTCACCTGCCCCAAGTTTCCTCCCTCCGTCGCTCCCTCCCTCCTGCCCTCCCTCCTGCTCTCTTCCTCCTCCTCCTCCTCCTCCAGCCGGTGCAGCCGCGACTCATTCCCCCTCGCGCCCCTCGCGTCCGACCCAGCGCCGAGAGCTGCCCGCGGAGGGGGGGAAGAACGGGGGGGGAGCGGGTCGTGCCCCTCCCACGCCTTCTCCGGGTGCTTGCGTGAACCCCGGGTTCGAGAGCCGGCGAGCAGAGCGGCTCCCCCGGAGGGTCTCGGCAGCCGCCTCGGGAGCGCGGGGAGCGACGCGGCGCAGTTCGGGCTTTGCGGAGGACTGCTTACGCCTCCGGGCCGTGAGTGCTTTGCTTGGCCCGAGCTGCGTGAGCGGCGAGGGAAAACAAACTCTCTCTCGGAGAAAACAAACAGAGCCTCTTCTCACCCCGCTGGTCGGCCCATCGGTGCTCTCCCCTCAGCCAGCAGGGAGACTCGAAGGAAAACATAGTGACTAAACGCTGGGAACGTATGGAGATAACAGCTTTCTAGACATGGTCAGACCTGCAGCTTGTGCTTTAAAAATTATTTAATTTCTTGTACAGCTAGGAAACCAGATCCTGCTATAATACAAGTTGTATCTGATTAAAAACAAATCTATCAACGCCAAGTAACATATACCAATGTACATTATGAACAAGAAAAACCTTAGCAATCTAATAGCTGAAATCAA